TGTTATATCTAAATCATCATCAATGTGGTTCAGGAGTTTATCTGACACCAGAGGATGCTGCTGCAAAGGGGAACTGAGGTTAGCCTCTTTGGTGACAGTCTAGTCTCACTTACCATTTGAGAGATACTCATTTGTCTGGTTGACTAGATCAGGATCAGCTGTTCTGAAATAGAAATTATTTTCAGTCTAAGGCTATTCCAGTACTTTTTCTCCAGTATAAAATTATTGCATCTTGGGTCCTAGTGATATTAAATACAATCATTATTAGCTTTAGTATTCATAGAAGCACTTATTTACATTGCTCCAGTGTAAGGTAACCAGATGTCCCGATTTTATAGGGACAGTCCCGATATTCGGGGCTTTGTCTTGATATAAGTGCCTATTGCCTCCCCCCCACACACACACACCCTGTCCCGATTTTTCACACTTGCTATCTGGTCACCCTACTCCAGTTGCTAGTAATTGGAATCTAAGTTTTGAATGCTATGGATCACGTATGATGGTACTCAGAGAGCTGGCTGACTACATGATGTTGGTTCTCCTCTTTGTTTCCAGTTACTGCATTGCACTGAAGACAATTGAAATATATTACCGGGAAGTATTTTCTGTTTGTGTGAATTAGCCTTGGAGAATTGCCTGGTTTACAATTTGTTAGGTGAGTATATATCATCAGTAAAGCCCATTCTGACTGAATCTCTCTCTTGAATGAGAATCACTTTCTTATGAGTATTTGCTTCTTAGTGATTATACCTAAGCAAGTTCACCAAAATTAATTACAACCCTCATAAAAGGTCTTTGTATACACACATATAACCTCTTCAGGTTACACAAGTTGAACACTACATTGCTGCCAATAACCTAGATGTGCTTGTCTTGTGGTGCTGTCCCTTCTCGGTTATGGTTTAAAACAAGGCATTTTTGTTCATATGGGAAGAAAAATGAACAGATTCCCCAGTTCTTCACCAGTTCTCTGTGCAAACACACAAACTCCTGGTGCATGTGGTTTGTCACAGGGTAAGAGAAATGTTTGGGTTTTTTTTTAAGTCCCTTGTTAAAATATTGGCAGCACATCACTGGTGGAGTGCAAGGTTTTCTCAAGCTGGCACAGGCATTGCCTTTTCTAGATTTGGAAACTTAAGACTACAGCTCAAGATCTAACGTCGCTTTTATGAAGGGTGCACTTTGCTACCATTTAAATACAATGAGCACTGTGCAAATGATCCTTGATACATGTTATCACCTGCTTTAAAAAAACCACTCCAGCTTTTCATAGGCCTTCTTAAAAGCTTTTATAGTCTTTCTAAGCACAATCTGTAAACTTTTGCTGCTTACATGCCAAGTCGGTCTGGAAAGCAGGGAAGGAGAGACCACAGAAAGGAAAACCAGACCTCCAACTCATCTAAAATTGCAGGGACTGTTAGAAAAACCTGGTGCATGTCCAGATACGATGAAGAAAATCTACTACAAAAGCATTCTGCTCCATTTTAACAATATAGATTCCTCCATATCAAATTCCTTTAGAAAGAAGAAAGATCCCAAAGAGCTGAAAATATGAGCAAATATAACACCTTTATTCACAAAGGAATCTAGGGGAGATCCAGGAAATAGAAAGCTGGCAAAGCTAAACTGCAGCACTCAGGAAAATACTGGAAAGATTAATCACAGAAGAGTAGGACAAAACCTATAGAGCTGTGATAAACAAAACCATAGTTAGAACTGAGTCACAAAGAGAAATAACATTTTTAACAAAGGACATGTCTATACTACAAAGATAAGTCAACTTGATTTAAGTTGACATCCAGCCACTGCAGTAATTAAGTCAGTCGGGCGTGTCCACATCACACTCATTGTGTCGGTGGAGCAGTGCAGTGCATTGTGGGTAGCTATCCCACAGTGCAACTAGTTGCAAGGAGTTTGGGGTTGGGCTTGCAATGCCTCATGGGACCAAAACATTGTCGCAGGGGGAAATGGGAACATGGCTTCAACCTCCCATGATGCAGTTTCCACCCTCCCTCCCCTGATATCAACGGCAAACAACCCATGTTTTTTCACACCTTTTTTTGAAGGCCTGGCTTAGCTGCGCATACGCCATAGCCTGAGAAGCATGGACCCCGCCCAGCTGTGTACTCTTAATGTGAGCATTATAATCACCTAGTGCCTTATCCTGCAGTATTTCCAGAGCCGAGACAGGAGCCGCCATGTGGAACATTGCAATGTCATTGAAGCAGCCCTGTTGCAAGCCATAGAATGAAACAATTCCTGGTCGCTGTGGAGCACCATTTCTGGTCCTAGAAAACAAGCACTGATATGGGATTGCATCCTTATGCAGCTATGGAATGACAAGCAATGGCTGCAGAACTTTCAGATGTGGAAGGTCACTTTCCAGGAACTGTGTGCAGAGCTTTTCCCAACCCTGAAGCACAGTAATACTAACATGAGACCTGCTCTGATAGTGGAGAAGCGAGTGGCGATAGTTCTGTGAAAGTTGGCAATGCCAGACTGCTACCGGTTCGAGTGGAATCAATTCAGAGTTGGTAAATCCACCATGAGAGCTGTTGTGGTCCAAGTGTTCAGGGCCATTAATCGACTTCTGTTAACAAGGGTAGTGACTCTGGGCAACGTACAGGACATAGTGGATGGTTTTGCCGCGATGGGGTTCCCTAGCTGTTTTGGGGCAATAGATGGCACGCACATCCCTATCTTGGCACCAGACCACCTTGCCAAAGAGTACATAAACCAAAAGGGATACTTTTCAGCGGTGTTGCAAGCGGTAGGGGATCATGGGGTTGTGACGGGTTGGATCACAGAAACCCCCTTGGGAGCTGCCACCCGATGTGCCAAGACTACCCCTGCTTCTGTTTTCCCTGCCAGCTCAGGACTCCAGCACCCCGTCTTGCTGAATTAGACACTCCAGTCCACTTCAACACAGACCCAGGGTCTGAATCACTTGTCCCAAAACTGCAAGTTTACCCAAAAACAGCTCACAGGAGTGTGCTTGTCTTTAGCACTCAGATGCCCAACTCCCAATGGGGTCTAAACCCAGATAAATCCGTTTTACCCTGCATAAAGCTTATGCAGGGCAAACTCATAAATTGTTCGCCCTCTATAACACTGATAGAGAGATATGCACAGTTGTTTGCTCCCCCAGGTATTAATACATACTCTGAGTAAATTACTAAATAAAAAGTGATTTTATTAAATACAGACAGTAGGATTTAAGTGGTTCAAAGTAGTAACAGACAGAACAAAGTAAGTCACAAGCAAAATAAAATAAAATGCGCAAATCTATGCCTAATCAAACTAAATACAGATAATCTCACCCTCAGAGATGCTTCAGTAAGTTTTTCTCAGACTGGACACCTTCCAGGCCTGGGCACAATTCTTTCCCCTGGTACAGCTTTTGTTCCAGCTTAGGTGTTATCTAGGGGATTCTCCATGATGGCTCCTCCCCTTCCCTCTTCTGTTCCACCCCTTTATATATCTTTTGCGTAAGGCGGGAACCCTTTGTCTCTCTGGGTTTCCACCCCCCCTCACTGGAAAAGCACCAGGTTAAAGATGGATTCCAGTTCAGGTGACATGATCACATGTCACTGCAAGACTTCATTACTCACTTGCCAGCACACACATATACAGGGAGACTCACAGGTAAACAGCCATCTGCAGACAATGGGAGTCATCAAGATTCCAAATCATCATTAATGGCCCACACTTTACATAATTACAATAGGCCCTCAGAGTTACATTTTATATTTCTAGTTTTAGATACAAGAGTGGTACATTTATACAAATTAGATGATCATACTCAGTAGATTATGCACTTTGTAATGATACCTTACAAGAGACCTTTTGCATGAAGCATATCCCAGTTACATTATATCACTTATTACCGTATTTTCTCTAAATCTATCCCAGTTACATTATATTGACTTATTATTATATTTTTATAAAACCATGTAGACTGCACAACGTCACAGGGGTGTTTCACCAACGTCAGTGTGGGATGGTCAGGAAAGGTGCAAGACGGGCACATCTTTAGGAAGACTGGTCTGTTCAGAAAGCTGCAATCGGGGACTTTCTTTTCAGATTGCAAAATAATCACTGATGATGTTGAAATGCCAATAGTGATCCCGGGAGACCCAGACTATCCTTGCTCCCATGCATAGGTGCTGGAAGTACAGGTGCGGGGGGTGCGGTAGCACCCCCTGACTTGAAGTGGTTTCCATTATATACAGGGTTTACAGTCTGGTTCAATGGCTCTCAGCACCCCCACTATAACATAAGAACATACCAAAGGTCCATCCAGCCCAGTATCTTGTCTTCCGACAGTGGCCAGTGCCAGGTGCCCTAGAGGAAATGAACAGAACAGGTAATCATCAAGTGATCCATCCCCTATCACTCATTCTCAGCTTCTGGAAAACAGAGGCTAGGGCACAGGTGGGCAAACTACGGCCCGCGGGCCACATCCGGCCCACAAGACCCTCCTGCCCAAACCCTTAGCTCCTGCCCGAGGAGGCTAGCCCCCGGCCCCTCCCCTGCTGTTCCCCCTCCCCTGCAGCCTCAGCTCACTGCGCCGCCGACACAGTGCTCTGGGTGGCGGGGCTGTGAGCTCCAGGGGCAGCACAGCTGCAGAACCCGGCCTGACCCAGTCCTCTGTGCTGTGTAGTGGCGTGGCTGGCTCCAGCCACACGGCGCGGCAGCAGCGCCGCCACGTACCGGTGCTCCAGGCAGCGGGGGAAGGGGGTAAGGAGCAGGGGGGGTTGGATAGAGGACAGGAGAGTACGGGGTGGTGGCCAGGAGGCAGGCGTGTGGATAGGGGTCGGGGTGGTCAGAGGGTGCGGAACGAGGGGCAGGAAGACAGAATGTAAGAGCAAAGGCAGCAGCAGGCACAGACCAGCAACGGAGAGGACACAATTCCGTGTCTGGGCGCCGAGCAACCGCCCACGCACCTTGTGAAAGCCTGTTTTTCTCCACTTCGTCGGGAGCGAAAGCGAAAGCAGGGCTGTTTCTGCCTGGTTTCAAACCAGGAACCTTTCGCGTGTGAGGCGAACGTGATAACCGCTACACTACAGAAACCAAGGGCCAGCCGCCACTGGGTAGAGGGGCCGGAGCGGCCCCCTTTGGCTGGCCCGAAGGCCGCCTCCGGCCCCGGCAAGAGGCAGAAGGAGCCTGGCAGGCGTTGCCCAAAGCCCTTGGCGGAAAGCACTGGCTCCGCTTCCAGACACCAAGGAGCAGGGCATTGGTGGCTCAGTGGTAGAATTCTCGCCCGCCATGCGGGAGGCCCGTGTTCGATTCACGGCCAATGCAGTGCCTCTCTTGCGGGGGCCCCGGCTCTTTTGGTGTGCGTGGCTCGCCAGCAGCTCCCCGCCCTAAGCCTCTGAGCGCCAAGGTGCGCTTTATTTGCTGAGGTTCTTGAAGGGGCCTCTTGGCAGGGGTGCTGCTCTTCTTTGCCCTTTCCTTTCTTTTCGAGGAGTCCTGCCGTGGGGCCAAGAGCAGCTTGCTGAGAAGCATGCAGTTTCAGGTGGAGTATTCAGCCCCTTCCCGCTCTTAAGCCGGGGGCTGCAGCATGTGCACACGCGTGGGCTGGGAGAACTCCGGCCACCAGGTCAACCCGCATACGGCTCAGGAGCCTGCTTCACCCTGAGGGAAGGGCCTGACGGGTCACTTCTCAGGCCTGTGGGTGCGGTTCCCATCCCGGCGGCATGCTTGGATGGTGGGCATGGTAAGTCCTGGCTCACGCAACACGAAGGAAAGTCATTCTGCCCTTCCACCTCCCACTCTCCCAACCACCAAAAGCTCTCCATGCCACTAGCTGGCCTTGTGGCGCAACGGTAGCGCATCTGACTCCAGATCAGAAGGTTGTGTGTTCAAATCACATCGGGGTCAGGCAGGTGACTGTTGTGCTTTTGTCCTGGTGCGCCTTACTTGGGGAGAGTGCCCTTCCAGAAAGGGCCATGGCCCTTGCTTTTAGCAGCCCCGTGCAGGGCCCAATGAGCTTGCTTTTTCTTTGAAAGAGGTCAAAGGGAGGCGCAAAAGCAGGGCCACCACACCAGCTGGGCAGCAGGGGCACATGCCACAAGCCAGGCAGGAGTCGAACCTGCAATCTCCTGATCCGTAGTCAGACGCGTTATCCGTTGCGCCACTGGCCCCCGGGGCACAGCCTTTTGCCTGGCGTGGCCGTGCTGCCTAAGTGAGGCGGAACGGTAGCATGAGGGCAGACCCTCTCTCTCTCAGCCCCGCTTTCCTCTCCTGCCAGCGCAGGAGAGAATGCAAGAGGAAAGGCAGCAGCGGGGACAGACCAGCAACGGAGAGGACGCAATTCCGCGTCTGGGCGCCGAGCACCCGCCCACGCACCTTGTGAAAGCCTGTTTTTCTCCACTTTGTCAGGAGCGAGATCAAAAGCAAAAGCAAAAGCAGGGCTGTTTCTGCCTGGTTTCGAACCAGGGACCTTTCACGTGTGAGGCGAACCTAATAACCGCTACACTACAGAAACCAAGGACCAGCCACCACTGGGTAGAAGGGCCGGAGCGGCCCCCTTTGGCTGGCCCAAAGGCCGCCTCCGGCCCCAGCAAGAGGCAGAAGGAGCCTGGCAGACGTTGCCCAAAGCCCTTGGCAGAAAGCACTGGCTCCGCTTGCAGCCACAAAGGAGCAGGGCATTGGTGGTTCAGTGGTAGAATTCTCGCCCGCCACGCGGGAGGCCCGTGTTCGATTCACGGCCAATGCAGCGCCTCTCTTGCAGGGGCCCCGGCTCTTTTGGTGTGCTTGGCTCGCCAGCGGCTCCCCGCCCATCATTTTAATCGGAGCTGCATTGGTTCTTTAATATATTGAATGACCTTGTCTACAACAACAGAGACCATTTGTCCCCGTATATGCTTTTTATTATATATGCATCCAAGTCTGCACTGCAATACATGCCTCTCACTTTTCAGACTTGCTAGTAATTCGTGTAGGGTTTATTGTGTTGGGAGAGGAACAGGGCTGTGATTAGGGGCTGAGGCTTCCCTGCTGAGGGGGCCTATATATGCGGCAATTGATCAGGCAGCGGCACAGATGCAGCGGCACAGGAGCCAGCAAACAAAGCTTTAAACAGGGGAGTTTGAATGGGAGTTCGGAAGGAGAGTGAGGGGAACAGAGCCCTACGTGCGCCGAGTACAGGCCGCTGCATTGGTGTTGTCGGCGTCCCCGTGACAGGAGTATAGGTGTGAGGGCTGCGGCCAGTATACAGGGTGCATCAGTGGTGACCCAAGCAATGGAATATACAGGGCAGATGACCAGATGTGCAAGCCGCGCAAGTACATGACCCCAGAGCAGGTTTGTTTGTGTGCAGTGCCACCTGCTAGAACCCTGGCTGTCATGCGTATAAGAAGCTCTACTGTTGATGCTGAACAAACCCCAAGTCCCATGGCAATATACCCTTCTTTTCTAGTAATAAGTTCCCATTCAAGTGTATGGACCTTGCTGTGTCACTCCAGAGCTGTTAGCCTGGGTGGCTCCCAATCAGCATTATGTTGGGTTGTTACTGGGAATACCTTCAGCTGTTTCTCATCTCATTCCTCTGGCTCCACTCTTTCCTTTGTCCTTTGGGCATATGCCTTTTCTTTCGGGTCATCAGTCTCATATCTGGGTGCTTTTTTATAATACGGTTAGTGCCTCTCGGATTCTCCACTCCCCTCTCAATCATCCAGCTCATCTATACTGGTGTCTGTTAGCATGCCATACATTCTTCACTCACACACAAAACAGTAAATAATTTACAAAGCAAGAACTGCAGCCATGACACCTCTATCCTTCTAAAAGCAATAATTAACACATAGAGCAAAGAATAAAACCAAAACATTTTCTTCTTACTAAGTGAAGGCTAACAAAATAAGCAAAATGGAGTATACTTTACTTGAGACAATTTCTCCCTATTAGGCTTTTGGACTACAATAGAAGAGAAGATCTGAGGTTCAGAGATGCAGGTAGAAACTATGACTTAGTTTCTAAGTGGGTTTGAGCAGTTAATGTAGGAAAGGCAAGAAGAGGAAGAAGGGAGAAGTCGAGACTTGCAGATGCAAGCTGGACTGGGGATGGGGAGTCTGCTTGGGCAGGAAAGTGGTCCGTGGAAGCATGTGTCTACAAGAACCAGGCTGAGGAAAAGACAGGCTAGTGAAGGAGAAATAGAGCTCAGGAACAGATTTGCTGAGCTGGAAAATGAAGAGGGGGCACAGCAGACCGTAACTGAAGGTGGGAGAGCACAGACGAAGAGCAGAGCATCTACTTCTATAAGAAGAAGGGAAGACCTAACGGAGATACCCAGTGTGACACTGCACCCCATATTCTTCCCAGTGACATTATTTTGATGCGATTATGACATAATTATAGTGTATTTTATGCAAGATAAGTCATGTGAGGTGGCATTGAAAAAGTTATGATTTGCTGAATATGATTATCCTATTTGTATGCATGTATCATTTTTGTATCTGGAGTTATGAATATTGTCTAAGTATCTGTATTTCAAATGTAGTTACATCTCAGTAACACCCACTAGACAAAATACTTTCAATCCAGATAGTTTGAGGGGAAGGGCCTATTCAGGGCAATGGGCCATTAGGAAAAAAACAATAAGTCTTAGGAGAAGCTTATCTCCCACCTGCAGAGCCTTCTTGAAAACACTACAGACTGTCTCCAAGTAATGGCTGTTATGACTCTACAAGGACATGTGATGAGACCATATATCTCTGGACTCTCTCTTGGGATGTCAGTATTTTTCCACAGACTGGTCTGGGAACCAAGCTTCGGGATCAAAGAGTTCCCGCCCTATGCAAAAGCTATATAAGGCAGGGAATGACATCATCCGGGGTTCTTCACTCCCCACCCAAGAAGACTCCTGGAAACACCTGAGGAACAAAGACTGAAGTGGGGGAAGTGCTTGATCCAGGCTAACGGGATTTCTAGTCTGTGAATGAAACATCTGGGGCCAGGGATGCCAAGATGTAAATCAAGTGCAGCTTGCCCCTTAAGAATCTGCAGCCTGCTTGTATTATCTCTTAGGGTGAGAATCAGCTATTCATATCCAATCTATTTAGTATATGAAGCTTAGTTTGTGTTTTTTGTTGATTTGCTAGGTAGTCGGCTTGGTTTTCCTATCACTTATAATCACATAACACCTCTCTTGTAGTCAATAAACTTGTTTTTGCTTTATCTAAACCAGTGAGTTGGTTTGAAGCGTATGGGAATCTTAGCTCAGAGGCAAAAAGCTGTTGCATATTCCTCTCCACATTGAGGGAGGGGGCGAATTTTATGAGCTTACACTGTACAGCTCCCTGTGTAGTGCAAGATGGTATAATTTTGGGTTTATACTCCAGAGGGGGTGCGTGCCTGGGGAGTTGGGAGTTGCCCTAGCTGCAGCCTTTCCATTGTTGGTTCATTGCAGGGGCTGGACAGACAGCCTGCATGTAACTGCAGCTGGATGTGTCCCTACCTGTATGAATGCTGGTGGAAGTGCAGGCTGGAGGACTTTGCAGCTTGTCACAGCAGTACAGTGTGAAATGTAGCCCAGGCTAGTAGGTCAGAAGGCTCAGTGGTACCCCAGTTCCAGGTGGCACTGTTGGGGGCAACCTGCCACCCCCAAAGTTCAGAGCCCCAGAAGGACACAGGATGACTCACAGAAGATTCCAAGGGAGAATAAAAGACAAGAGGACTCACAGCCAGAAAGAACAGGAGGAAGGCCGTAGAGTCACCAGGAAAAGGCAGGTCTACATGACTGGGGACTCCCTACTAAGAAGAACAGACAGGCCTGTAACCAGAGCTGATCCGGAGAACAGAAGGGTGTGCGGTCTTCCAGGAGCTAAGTTATTGGATGTGGACCTGAGGCTGAAGAGGATCCTAATGGCAGCAGGAAAGAATCCACTGATTGTCATCCACTGGGGAACAAATGACACAGCTAGATTCTTGCTGGAACACATCAAAGGAGACTATGATAGGCTGGGGAAGACGCTTAAGGAAATGGAGGCTCGGGTGATCTTCAGTGGGATTCTACCTGTCCTTAGAAAAGGAGAACAAAGGTGAGGCAAGATGATGATAATCAACAGATG